GTTCTAGCTTCCACATTTGAGAAAAAACATATGCCCTTTGATCTTTTGAGCCTGGCTTGCTTCACTTAACATAATGTTCTCCAGTTCCATCCATTTACCTGCAAACAACATAACTTCATTCTTCTTCATGGCTCAATAAAACTCCACTGAGTATATGTACCATAACTTCTCAATCCATTCATCAGTCATGGGGCATCTGTGTTGTTTCCAAAGCTTGGCTATTGTGAACAGTGCTGCAATAAACGTGGGTGTGCAGGCAGCTCTATTGTATCCTGGCACACATTCCTTTGGGTATGCACCCAGGAGTGGTATCCCTGGATCCTATGTGGTTCTATTTTTGGTTTTTTGAGGAACCTCCATGCTGCTTTCCATAATGGTTGTACTAATTTACATTCCCACCAACAGTGGAGAGTTCCTTTGCTACACATCCTCACCAGCATTTGTTGTTGTTTGTGCTATTGATGATAGTCATTCTGACTGGAGTGAGTCTTTTTGGTTTGCATTTCCTTTCTGGGCACAAATGCTGAGCATTTCTTCGTGTATTTATTGGTGAGTTGTACTTCTTCCTTATAAAATTGCCTCTTCAGTTCATTTTCCTATTTACCCATTTATTCAGATGGTTGTTGATTCTTTGTGGGGTTAGTTTTTTGAGCTCCCTATAAATTCTGGTTAGTGCAGAAGCTAATTTGATGCAGTCCCATTTGTCAATCCTTTGTCTTTACTGCTGAGCTACTGGAGCTCTATATAAAGTTAATACCTATGCCTATATAATCCAGAGTATTCCCTATTTTTTCCTGGAGTAATTTCACAGTTCCAGATCTCACCTTGTACTAGTATCAGTTCAAAGTGGATCAAAGACCTTAATGTAAGATCTGAAACTGTGAAATGACTATGGCAGTCTTATAAATGACGGCATGAACGTGTTGCTGTCTGGAAAGATATCTGCAATGCATTGAGCTGGCCACATGCAATATGCTGATTTTTATAAAAGAATAGAGAAAAATAGCACAGCAAGTTGCCAATCATTATTTCTAGCTATTGCGCATACAAGTGCTCTTTTATTATTTTAGCTTACTTTCATTTCCTAATTTTTCTACAGTGATTATGTATTACTTATATAAAATAAAAATTAAAGTCTCTATTGCAAAAAGAAAAAAGTATAGTACGTGGTAAGCATCCAACAATTAACCCTAACTGTGATAAGACTTTCTGAGAGCTTGTAAAGAAGAGAACCTGGAGCTGCCTGCCCTGAGAAGGCCTAGCTGGCCTCCCCGACTGCAAAGGGAAGACGTGGATGGCGTAGATTTGGTGGATCATTCTTTATATACATCAGCTCTCAGCCTTAGCCCATTTTAGCTCAGGTAAACAGAGCTCTGCACTTTGTCTAGCTCTGGTCATCAAGAATCTGAATTAGAACTGGGAAGTCAACGCCTCAAGGTAACCAAGCAAGCAGATGCACCACTCATCCTGTGTCCTGTCTGTCCTCTCTCTCATCCCCAGGCATGTCTATCTATCTCTTAACACAGCTCTCAGAAAGAAGACTCCAAGAGCAGCACCAAGACATTAAACCTGGTGTCACTTTTAAAAACAGGAAAAGCAGACAACTCTGGTGTGGAATCAGAAGTGGAAGAGAGGAGATGGTTAAGTAAAAATTCTACAAGTTTATATCGAGGGCTGGCAGAGTGGCTCAAGTGGTAGAGCACCCGCCCAGCAAGTATGAGACCCTGAGTTCAAACCCCAGTGCTGCCAAAAAAAAAAAAAAAAACCTAACAAAAACAAGTTTATATCGAGATGTTGGCATTGCAGTCAAGTGAAAATGGGACTGGAACTTGGAAAAGGTTCCTCTCACAGTTTCTCACAGGAAATCAAATAATCCCAGGAGAAAGGAAAGAAATAAGAACACAGAGGGAAAAGGGTAGGAAAGGAAAGGAAGAGAAGAGGCCTAGGAAAGACTAGTGAGTTGTGGCAGGTGCATCAACTAATGAGTCAGTTAAGAGAAGTCATGCAGGATTAGTTTTAGTAGGGGACAGGAAGGGGTGTAAACTGCAGACCACAGAAATCAAGTAGCAATGGAAAAATGTCACAGTAGGCAAGTGTTGCTGTGCCAGGGAGGTAGTCATCTTGTCACCTGGCTGTTTACAGCACCAATTCAAGAAAAACAAGTTTTGCATTTCACTGACTACAGAGTAAGAAATAAGTTCACCCTAGGAGAAAAGAAACAAATAAAAAGAATTTCTGGACATATGTACATCACCCTAGGGCCCCAGAGGAAGTAATAAACACTGAGTACCTGTCCAGGGTGGTAACAGGGAAGCACACATGTCCAGACAAATGTTCAAGTGTGAGCCAGGTGCAGAAAGAACAGGGCAGTAAGGTCAAAAACCTGAGAAAGGTTAACTATCCACAGAAAAATGATATTGTAAAACCATTGCTAAATAATTTGGCACAGACTGAAAGAGTAAACTAGATATAGTGATACGGACATGAAACGGTCTTAGAAAATACTGTCAAATGGAAGGACAAGTAAGAAATCTAGATGTCTTCTAACTTTTCAAGTGTACAGTAAATGAAAAGGAAAGGTATCAGAAGGACTCACACCAAGTTTTAGCAGTGGTGCTCTTGACGAGGGTGTCCAAGTGAGGAAGACCACAGAAGACTCCATTCTCACTCTGTATTTGGTCATTGGGATTGTTTCTTTATTTTTTATGATAATGTAATTCTATTATTTGTACAATTATAAAAATATAACATTTTCATCCAACAAAAGATGAAGAAACAAAATCTTAGTATATTTCATTCTGTTTCTGAAGAATTTAAAGGGATATAGACACTACTAAAATTTCACAATAAAAAAATTAAATTTTCATGGGGGGTGGTAGTGTACACGTATAACCCCAGCTCTCAAGATGCTGAGGCAGGAGCATTGCAAGTTGAGGACAGATGGAGGACCCTGTGCCCCCAAAAATTTAGATGAGATAATTTTCTATAATAAATGGGAGAAAAGGCACAGTAAGAGAGCATCGACATGTTCATCCAAGCTCTTCCTAGCACCATCCATAAAGGCACTTTCCTGTATTAAAATTTCTGACACTGTGTAGTCCCTTTTTCATTATGTGATTTGTGGTAGTTCGGGAAAAATACCAAGAAATAGGATGGTTTCCTGACTAAAACCCTTTTTAAAATTCTAAAATACGAAGTGTTGATGTAGATTTTCTCCCTAATAATGTTGATAATCTAGACCATGGTTTTCAACTAAGAAGCAATTTTGTTCCCCAACGAATATCTGGCAATGTCTGGAGATGTTTTTGGTTGTCACAACTGGGGCTAGGGAGGGGGATGCGCTCTACCTGGGAAGCTGCTAGCCATCCTACAATGGGACAGCCCCACAACAAAGTGTCCAAAATGTCACTAACACCAAAGTCAAGAATTCCTGCCACAAGCCTAAAATGCTATTCGTGCTATTGCATTTTGTATTTATTTATTTATTGGCAGTACTGGGGTTTGAACTTAGGACCTTACACGTACTATGAAGGCACTCCATGACTTGAACCACAACCCTCAGCCTTTTTTGCTTTTAGGTATCTTTTTTTAATCTTTTTCTTTATTTTTTTGGCAGTACCAAGGTTTGAACTCAGGGCTTCTGGCTTAAAAGACAGGATCTCTATTGTCTGAGCCATATCTACAGCCCTTTTTTGCTCTGGTTATTTCAGAGATAGAGTCTCACTTTTTTGCCCAGGCTGGCCTGGACAGTGTTCCTTCTATTTTACACTTCCCACTGTAGCTGAAATAACAGGCACAAGCCACCACACCTGATTTTTTTTCCATTGAAATGGAGTTTTACAACTTTTTTACACAGGCTGACCTGGAACCTCAATCCTTCCAATCTCAGCTTCTTAAGAATCTAGAATTACAGGGGTGAGCCACCAATGCAGCTTTTAGCTATTTTTTTAATAGAACCTTGTATTTGTGTCTGGGCCAGCCTAGACCATGATCTTCCTATTCTTGCTTCCTGCATAACTAGGATGACAGGTGCACACTAGCACACCCAGATTTTTTATTTTTTAATTGGTTGAGACAGGGTCTTGTTAACTTTATCCGCACCCCTCCCCCCAACCTCCCCAAGCCTGCCTCGAACCATGATGATCCTCCTGATTACCACCTCCAGAGTGGCTAGGGTTACAGGCATGATTACCGACTTCTGTTTGTGCCATTTTAAATATGTGAAAAACAATTTCAAAAGCACAAAGCAACAACAAAGTGCTGGAGGTGTAGGTCAGTGGTAGAACACTTGCCTAGCAGCCACAATGCCTTGGATTCTATACCCAGCAAAAAAATATATTTATTAATTTATTCTTTTATTAGTTGCATTACTTAGAGAGTATGAACTTTATATAGTCCTACAAATTCAAGTTAGAATCCTGGTTATCAATTTTGTAACCTAGAACAAGTTACTCAAACCTTTTGTTTCAGGTTCCTCGTCTACAAAATTATTGCTAAAAGACAGACCTCTTAGAACTGGTGTGGAAGCTGACTAATCAAATCTCAGCACCCTCCCCATTACCTGCCCGGGACAGAGCAGAAAGCCATGGGATACCAGTTTCAGTCCTTATTCCTGTCCCCTGCCATCAACCCCAATTAAGCCACATTATATTCAGGATCTCAGCACAGAGACTTAGGGTTATATGGTGATTCATAAATCTCAATAGTAATGTGACATGAACACATTAAATAGTATCTCACCATAGAAAACAAACCAAAGTATGGGGATTCAATGTTTTAGTTACAAGACTTTAGTTATAGTCTCTCTCTCATTTTAAGACCAAAAAATAACCTATTACAACCTTTGAATTTTAATACAACCATTCCCTCCAAAAGCCATATTATACATAACTACAATAAAGGTGACCAGAGGGTGGAAGAAAGCAAAGGCAAGCATCGTGGAGGAAGCACCCCAACTCTCCGAGAGCATTCTACCAGACATTGTAAATCCAAGGACCTACTTTGGTGGTGATCCTGTAGGTGATGTAGGTCTCCATTGTACAGACATGCTTCTTGGGATCATCAACGGTGACGAAGAGATCTCTGGTCTCACCATCGATGTCATCATCTAGTTGCAGTCTGTTCAGAAGGGAGGACGAAGAAGCTGGACTTGAAGTGCCTGCTGGAGTGCCACCGTTGGGCAAAATGAGATCCTAAAATGAGAAAAGAATTTCCTTACAAATTAAAGGAAAAGGCACAATGGAGAACTTCAGCAACTGTAGCTAGTTTTATTCAAAACCAAAAAATTCTCTGAAATGTAAAAACAGCTTGCAAAACACCTGGGTCTCTCCTTACTCAATGTTTCTGTGGTGAAAGGGTCTTTTATGACAAAGAAAAACAACGTATACAGCATTCTAGATCAAATCCATGTTGATTCATCTTCCACACACCAGAAGAACGAGTGTCAAAAGTGCATATTTCAGGACTGGAGAAAATAACAGACCCACCACAATCTGACTTTCAAAGAGAAAGAACTCTGGGAGCCTGTACACTCTGTTCCTACTTTCCAGGTGGCCACCACCTGGGCCAAAGGTAAACATTAAAAGGCCTAAGCCCTCTGAAATAATCAGACAACTAAAAACTATGTGCTTCCTGAAAGAAGTTCCCACCACCACACCTAGGAAATATGCCTGCCAAAAATGAGATTTTAAATCCTGAACAAGTCTCTGGACATACTACCAACTTACAGGAAAAACAATGGATGGAGGAACATAGTAAACAATACTGTGAGGATACGATTAGCAAAACCCACACTAAGAGAAACTAAAGTAAAAGCCAAAAATCCATCTTCTTCAATAAATAAACTGCAAGGAAAAAAAAAAAACAGAGATGGAAGAAACACTTACAGATGGAAAGAAATGAAAGAGATCTGTCATAGATCGTAATAAAATTTTTCTTTAAAAAGATTTTGAGATATTCAAAGAAATGTAATTATTGTACAGTTGAATATTGATGCTATTAAAGAATCATTAGGGATGATGACAGAAGTGTTATGATTTTACAAAGCTTTCTTTTAGAAATATATACTAAAATATTTATGGGTGAAATAATGTCTAATATTCGTTTCAAAATAATTAAGGATGGGTAGGTGGGGGTACAAATGGTTTGAGACACCCAAGTGTTGATAGTTGCCAAAGCTGGTGCTTACAGGTTCATTATATAATCTGTCCTCTTTTGCATGTGATTCAAATTTTCCACAAAAAAAAAAAAGAATTTATTTCACGGGAAGGAAGGTTGTCAGAGGGCAAATGGTAGGAAAGAAGGAAAGATTTAAATATTATAGATCTCACCAGGCACCAGTGGCTCACACCTGTAATACCAGCTACTCAGGAGGCGGAGATCAGGAGGATCACAGTTCAAGGCTAGCCCTGGGCAAACAGTTTGAGAGACCTGATCTCGAAAAAACCCATCACAAAAAAAAAGGCTGGAGGAGTGTCTCAAGCAGTAAGAGCATCTGCCTAGCAAGCATGAGAACCTGAGTTCAAAGCCCAAAGCCACCAAACACACACATACACACACACACAGAGAGAGAGAGAGAAAGAGAGAGAGAGAGAGAGAGAGAGAGAGAGAGAGAGCTCATTCTCTTCAGGCCTTAGGAGGAAGGCCTAAAAACTACCTGAATAAATTATGCCCATAAAAAAAGAAAAAGGAAGACTGTGAAATTTAAAATGCCCAGTCTTACAGTTCCCTCCTTGGTGTTAAGGTCTGATAACAGAACAGAGCCCTGTCTAGCCATAGATGCAAAGGCCTCTGAAGGTCCCCTTGGAATCACTGGGAGACAAAGACTAAGGAATATGGGAAGAAAGTGACTCAGCACCACAGAGAAGGCCTTGGTGACCTATGGGTCATCGATCACAGAGTGCAGTGAAAGAGGTGCTCCCCTATAGTCTCTCTTCACAGAGCTCTGCAGGATAGGTATGGTGTAGCCCCCAGGTGAGAAACACACAGAAAACTAGAGGTCAGTCCAGTAGTCAATCTATAAGCTCCAGCTGAACATGGGAGGTCTGAGAAAAGGGATGGGATGAGGACAGAGAAGCATGGCCTGGGATCAAGGGCAATGTCACCCAACTTGGTGGGTGAGAGAAAGTACATAGAAATGGCACCTTCCTTTGCCTCCCATCTCACTGAGCACAGATCATTTAATCACATACTTATCTAATTTCAAAAAGGGCTCTATAATTTTTGAAAGGGCACCACCCTCCCAGAAGGTAGTCATGGGAACAGGCCTCCAACTTCACTCCCCTCAGCCCTGCTTCTGACTACAGAGCAGGGCCACAAGCTTGTCAGCTGGGACATGAAGCCCTCGGCAGCTGCTTGTTGTGTGGACAGGAAGGGGGGCCTTGTTACTACTCACTGCAGGAGCAGCTACTGACCTGCCGCCCTTGTCAGAGTGCTGATGGCACGTGACATGCAGTGTCACACCAGTATCTGGGGATCTGGCAGGGGACACCATCTTCTCTAGATGTCTTTGTCGTTTCAATAAATACTTAAACACTGACCTCAGACAAGACACCATGCTAGGCCTCAGTTAGGGCAGTGAGCCTCAGAATAGCTCTGCCAGTGGCTAGTCTCTACACAAAAGGAGGAATTCAAATGTTGGTCAGGTATGTCAGTATCAGCTCAGTGCCCTGGACTGGTCTCAGCAGCCTCGTTTCTCACTACCCCCTTTTCCCCAGTTCCAGAACCTACCATGCTGTCACAGCCCTCATATTCACTTGAAAAGCCCCGTCCCTTTTATGTAGAAATCTCCAAATATTTTAGAGAAGTCTGTCAGAGATGCTCTCTCCTCTTCAGTCTTGCCTGACCCACTCCCCAGCAGAATTAGTCATGCCTTTCTCCACACTTGGAAGGCACCTGCGCTGAAGCAATTTTCACAGTTTTAATCATTTTATTCTACACTTCTCACTTATCCACAAACACTGCTCCCCAGCAACCATAACTGTGCCTAGTTCATTTGTGTTCATGTGTGCACGCCTTGTGTGCACATGGGTGTATGTATGTGTAATTATCTGCCATCTCTTCCTAGGTTTACAGTGACTCTAAGCCAACTCTCCTAAGCTTTGCCCTGGGGACCTCAGTCAGTAACCTTCCAGGAACAGCCCACATAAAGGTCAGAATGTCTTGGCCAGTGTGGGAGGGAAAAGTCAGTGAATCAGATCTTGTCACATACTCCAAATCCTTTACTCCTAGGACTACACAGCCAGGGAAAACACCTGTGCCCCCTATTCAGGGTGTTCCCTGAAATATAACGAGCATTTTAGAACCACGTGTCTGTGATCTCCTTGGCACTGATGCTGCCACCTGTCACGGCCAGGGCACATCTGCACACAGCACTTCCTGTTCTTACTTCACAGCATCCCATGACAGCCTTGTGAAACCACCAGGCCAGATATGGCCTCTACCCATGAGGAAGCAGACTTGAAGAGATTGCATAAGGTGCAGATATGTATAGGCACTAGTGTTCTCTGGGCCAAAGGCTGAAATCAGGTTTCAGGTTCCTAGGTCAGGTTTCTTACCAAGTCGACTCCCTACTGGCCATCAATCTTTCTGGGTGAACATGAAGCTTCTGTTTGTAGAGCCAGTGAGAGAAAGCCAACACCTTTCCTAGGGTCTTACATCAAGTTTTTCCCCAAAATGACTCTCCTCAAGACATGGGAAATAAATGCAGAGGGAAAACATAAAATTTAGGAGAAAGGACAGAGGGCAGGTGAACTGAACATCCCAGGTTTCTCTACTCAGCAGAGGCACAGCAGTGGGGTTTGTTGCTCCAGGAGACCTGGGCCTGAGAGCGAGTACCAGGTAGGCAGCACCTTTGTGACCAATGGGACTTACAGAACACAGAATTGAAGTGAGGAGATCCCTTGGCTGCACACATAGGCCTCCTGCTTTCGCTTGGCTACCTTATCGTCAGCTCTCCATACCATAGCTGTAGTGCTCTTTTGAAAAAGCAATTCAAAACATGTCAAAATTCTTAAAGACATCCCTTTGACATTCAGAAGAAAGTCCAAACTCCCTCCCACAGACCACAGAGCTGACCGGCTCTCCCACCTCACCACCGGTGCTCTCCCTCCGGCTCGTCCTACACTAGCCCTCGGTGTGGCCCTCACCTGGACTGGTTCATTGAGACCTCAGGGCCTTTGTGCTTGCTGCTCAAAGAATCTAGAACACTCCTCTCCCTCAGATCCACACATGAACAGCTCCTCTCTTCAAACAGGTTCTATTCAAATGACAACTACTCAAAAAGGCTTCTCAGCCTGTAAAATCTAAGATCACCCTTGCACCTCTTTATCACTCTCTAGCCTCTTCTCTGGCTTTCTTTACCACTACTTGAAAATTATTATATATTAACTGACTGGTTCTCCACTCATCTGTAAATTCCACAAAAGCAGAGACCATGCTCCCTCTGGCACATGGCAGATACTCAGAAGCATTTGATGAATGAAAGTCTGAGAAATGACTCAACTCAATCCCTTGCCAATATGCAGTACTCAGTGAAGTCTGTGAAATGACATAACTGAGACTAACCTGAGCTACACTGCCAGTTTTAAATCTGGTTATTAGCAGTGTGACTTAAGCAGTGCTTTCATCTCTCTGTGCCTCAGTCTCCTCATCTACACAAAGGGTATAATGGCACTGAGTTAGTGCATGGAAGTAATTTGAAGAGTGTATCTATGGAAGCAAATGGAATATGGAAAGGTGCTACACCACTAACTGTACACTTTTTTTAAAAAATGAGGCTGACCTGTCTATTAAGTATTCTTGCACCCCTTATAAACAATGGGACTGGCTTCACAGGAGACCCTAAAATGCTGCTGAAAATAACAATTACATTAGAGACATAGTTGGTGGTGCTACATTATCGTAATGATTTTACTGCAGCAATGGAGATCCAGAATTGCCCTTGTGAAAAGAGACTATTTAGCAGATTAAAAATGAAATACTCAATCCTGGCAAAATGTCGATTCTCACCTGTCGGTTTCAGTTTTAAGAGCATTCCTTGTCCTGCTCCTTTTCTTTAAGCCAAAGAAGACAGCACGGAGCTGGGCTGCCTTAGAAACCCCTCTGGTCCAAAGAATTTCAGTTTTAAGATTCACCATTGTGGCTTGCCAGTCACAAGATGGAGTATTAACATAAATCACTGCCAAAATTCTAC